TACCATCCAAAGGCTATGCTGGAGGCATCCTAATGGGAGTGGACCTGGATATGTTTGACTGTATCTTGGTCCAATCTAGAATTTTCTGTTAGTTGTGTTATTAAAATGAAAAACACTGATAATCCCTTTAGAGTCATTACTGTCTATGGTTCTCCATATGAAGAAGGGAAGGAGAGATTTATCTCTGAACTACATCCCCTATTTCTAGAGGACCCCCTCCCCACCCTAATAGGGGGTGATTTCAACTTGGTTAGATATGCCAAAGATAAAAGTAACAGAAACATTAATCATAGATGGAGTGATAACTTTAATGCCTGGATTGAAATCTGGAGCTTACTTGAGATCAAGCTTTCCAGCAGGAAATTCACCTGGGCAAATAATCAGGTAGATCTGATCATGTCCACAATAGATAGACTTTTCTGTAACACTGAGTTAGACATGATTTTCCCCCTGGCATCCTGTAGGGCCTTGCCTAGGTGTGGGAGTGACCATGCCCCCATAATTTGGGAGTCTGGTCTTAACCAAGCTCCTAAATGCAGCAGCTATAAAATGGAGAAGTGGTGGCTCCTGAGGGAGGACTTCACCAATCTAGTTGCCAGCATTTGGAATGAGCCTACAAATGCCCCCTCACATATTGAGAATTGGCAAATTAAAATTAGGAAGCTCGGGAGAATCACTAAGGGGTGGAGCTCTAATGAGGAAGCTCAACTTAAAAGATATAGAAAGATCCTCCTAGAGGAATTTGATAAGTTAGATGTCAAGTCTGAAACCATAACCCTCTCTGAAGCTGAATTTTCTAGAATTAGATTCATCCACTCTGAGCTTCAGAAAATCTGGCTCCAAGAGGAAGTTAAGGCTAAGCAGAGATCTAGGGATAGAGAGATCAAAGAGGGTGACAGGAACACCGCTTATTTCAATGCAGTAGCCAACCAGAGAAGGAGGAAAACAGTCATCCACTCTCTGAATGGCCCTGAAGGCCCTGTCACTGATAACTCTGAGATGCTCAAAATTGCAAGTGACTATTATAAAGATTTGTTCAAGAAAAAGAATAGGAACGGCTTTAGGATGAATCCAAACTTGTTCTCTGAGGGAGAAAAGGTAACTACTGAGGAAAACAATATCCTAGAATCTCCTTTTTCAGAGGAGGAAGTCAAATAGGCTGTTTTTGACTCCTACTCCGATGGAGCCCCAGGGCCTGATGGGATTCCTTTCTTCTTCTACCAAAACTTCTGGGAGCTAGTAAAGAATGATCTGATGAATATGTTCTCTGACTTCCATAGAGGGGAGCTTAGTATTCACAGACTTAACTTTGCTATGTTGACCCTGATCCCCAAAGAAGCTGATGCTTCTTCCATGAAGAAATTTAGACCCATCAGCCTTTTGAATTGTAGCTTTAAGATTTTCACCAAAGTCCTCACCAATAGACTATCTAAAATCTTGCAATGATTGGTAGCTAGCAACCAATCTGCCTTTCTAAAAGGCGGGTATATCCTAGAAAGTGTGGTCACAACTCATGAGGTTCTGCACTCAATTCACTCTAGTAAAAGGCAAGGTCTAGTGCTGAAGCTAGATTATGAAAAAGCCTTTGACAAAGTTAACCTAGATTTCTTAGAAGATCTTCTTTAGTTTAGAGGCTTTGGAGAAAGATGGATACAATGGATTAAGAAGATTACCCATGGAGGGTCCATTGGTGTCAAAGTAAACAACAGTGAGAGTGATTTCTTTCTCATAGGAAAAGGGCTCAGGCAGGGAGACCCCATCTCCTCGCTGTTGTTTAACCTTGTAGTCGATGCACTCACCAGAATGCTGATGAAAGCAGCTAGCCAGGAAATGATCTCAGGGTTTTGTCCAGAGGCATGCCCTGGGGGGATCATTTGCCTGCAGTATGCAGATGATACCATCCTCTTTCTAGACAAAAACCTGCAACATGCTTCAAATCTGAAGATGATTCTAAGCTGTTTTGAACAGGTTTCTGGGATGATAATCAACTATAGTAAAAGTGAGCTGATCCCCATTAATATGGAAGTGGAGGAAACAGTGTGCTTCATTCAAATCCTAGGATGTACTGAAGGTGCTTTCCCCATTAAGTATCTAGGGATCCCCCTTCACTATGAGAAACTTAGAAGAGAGGATATACATCCCCTCATAGATAAGATCATGAAGAGGATTGCTGGATGGAGAGGAAAGCTACTTTCCTACAAAGGCAGGCTAGTGCTTATCCAGGCTTGTCTGGCCAGCATCCCCATATATTTGCTGTCCTTTTTCAAATTCCCAAAATGGACTATTGACATGATCAATTCACAAATGGCTAACTGCCTGTGGAATGATTTTGAAGGGCATAGGAAGCTTCACCTTGCTAGTTGGAAAATGATTTGTATGAAAAAGGAGTTTGGAGGCCTTGGTATCCCAAACCTCCAAGAGGTGAACACTTGCCTTTTAGGCTCTTGGGTCAAAAGATTTTATGAAGAAGGAGATAAACCTTGGAAAGCCATTATAGAACAAAGATACTTGTCAGGGAAACCTAACCTCTTTGCTGTCAATCCCACTCCAAACTCTTCTAGATTTTGGAAAGGATTCCAATCCATCGTCCAAAATATGAAGTTTGGATTCAGATGGAAAGTGGGCAATGGTGAGAGGGTTAGGTTCTGGGAAGATACTTGGTTTGGGACTTCCCCTCTAGCTACCCAATTTTGTCCTATATACTTAGTTTGTAATGAGCAAACTAAGACTATTAAAGAAGTCTGGAATGGGGAAACACTCAAACTAACCTTCAGAAGAAACTTTGATGACAAACTTATGGCGCAATGGTACCACCTGGTTGAATGTGCTAGGAACATTGCCCTCTCTGATGATACAGATTCACTGATATGGCAGCTTGAAAGTAAAGGGGTTTACTCTTCAAGCTCCCTGTATCATGTGATCAATTTCCGTGGGGTGCAGCTAGTTTTCATTCATGCGGTGTGGAAGCTTTATGTACCTCCTAAAATTCATGTTTTCTTGTGGCTTTTTTCTTATAACAAGCTAATGACCAGAGATAACCTACGTAAAAGGCACATCATTAAACCCCTTCACTGTGTCTTCTGCTCGGATCAAGAAACTAACTCGCACTTGTTTTTTGATTGCATAGTGGCTAAAAATATCTGGTTATTAGTGGCTGACCACTTTCAGATTCGGATAGGGACAGGGTATGAATCTGTAGCCAGATTCTGGGTCTCTAAGAAGAAGAACTCAGCCCTGAACATAGTTTCTTCTGCTGTCCTTTGGTGTTTGTGGAAGTATAGGAACTCTGTCATCTTTAACAACACCATTTGGACATCGATTTCGCAGGTTTGGAGACTGATCCTCAGGACCCTCAAGTTCTGGGCGATCTTGGCACCCGTGTGTGGCAAAGTTCGCCTGGAGATTTTCCTGGCGGAGCTAACAGAGCACTTGAGGCAACCTCTGCAGATAACGAATGGCTGAGGCTGGAAGAATCTGCAAATGATGGGGTTGTGAACAAATGGGGCAAGCTGAAGATCTCTGAAGGCGACTGGGATTTCCATTCTCCAAGGAAACAAGGAGGCCTGAAGAGCAAAAGCATGTTGGGCAGCCCGGTGTCGACGCTCGCCTGTTGGTCCCCTCAAGCAGCTTCAGCGCCGCCTTTCAAGTTCACAAGATCCACGGGGATGGGAGCAGACAAAGCTCAGGAGATTTCAGCTTGATTCCACTGCTCTGAGTTCGGGCCTGCGTGCCGCTTGATCTGCTGGGAGATCTGTAATCCGGTTTTCCTTTTTCTCTCTTAGTTCTTGTTAAAGTTGAACTACTCCTCTAAGTGAGCTGCTGTATGACTGGATGATACTTTCTGTGGCTTCATGCTCAGTAATGGAGCCGGGGAGGGGGACCTCCCTGTTCATCTAAAAAAGATCCTACGTGACCATGCTCGAGCACGACAAGTTCGTTAACTGTTCTGTTCAGCTCTACCCGGCTGGCCCAACATCGTACGCCATGGCCGCATCCTTCCTTCCTAATTTCCCCCTTGTTCACCCAACCTGATTCCTCCCACCTACACGGCTACACCCCTCCATCTAATCCATTACTATCTGATGTCTATGTATCAAGACTCCTTATGTGATGAGGATGGAAAAGCTGAACAACAAATTTATTGCTAATACACGGGTAAATTTTCAGGTACATCAGCAAAATCAGAAAAGGGATGGACAGAGGCAACATTCTCTCCTTTTCTGGATTTTATCAAGGAAGATCACAACTAGGCTTTGAGTAGCTGGACATTTGACTGACTCATAGTTCTCAAGACTGTGTGAGGTATCATTGATTTCTTTTCCTGGTACATATTTGCAAATTACACTTGCCGCACAATCATGATTGATAAACCATCAAATCTTGGCTGTTGTTTTATTTTTGAAAAAAAATGATAGCCCCATTCTCCTTATGCTACTCCTACCGTGCGACCAGACCTATGCATGTCGTTTAATCTCTAGACTCCAAGATTTCCCATTGCCGTTCCGCACACTACCACGTCGAGAGGTTTAGAGGCTGAGTCACCAAGAGGAGACTGCACATCGCCCGAAGTTATGTCCATATTTCATATATGAACATTCTTTTTGATGCACTTCAAAGTGTTTACTATAGTAAGATTTCATCTATAAATAAATACATTGGTTATTATTGATGTTTATGTCAAAGGGCCCTGGGTTATAGGTTCGCCCAGGACCGGCCCTCCGGTCACCCTGACGGACTCCACATCTTGACTGGAATTGCTCTCCCAACTCCACATTCATTAGGATGCGAACATTTCAGGTTTCCAAAGTAAAATTCTGAAAATAGGTGCGTAGATCCAATACAGTAGGCATTTTAAAGCAGTGTTTAAATATATTACCCATAAGTTTTTCTCACCACCAATATCCAAAACTAACCAAAAATAACAACTGACTAGGCACAATCGTCGCTCTAGTAGCAGCCGTGAGCACTTATTTTAAGAGATTGTTATAATTCTTTGACAATCAACATATTGTTATCTTGACAGACAAGGAGAATTCATGTGTGAGTCGCTCCTTAATCCGATACCTGCTAGCTTTGTCAACAAGGGATCTTGTGGACTCAAGTTCAAGGTCCATGGCATTGCACTCATCACAAGGGTGTTTACCACGCAGGTCGATTCTCTTCAAGCCCACGGCTCGTTCCATGAATAGCTTTAGATAGTTTGTCACCTTGTCTTCGTCCTCGAACCCTGCCATCACCAGTAACTTCAAGTTCAAGTGCTTCCAATCCTTGGATGGTTCCCACAACATGTTGGTCTTCTGGGAACTATACTCAGACGGTTTGACACATGGATGTTGATTTCGAAGCAACTTCATGCATGCACACAGAAGATAAACACAAATTACAGAATAATGTAGAAACAATTGAAGTAACACATCAGGTTATAAAAGAAATGAAACCAGCAATACCAGTATTTATGTTCAAGGTGAAGCTTACTGTAAAATTCAGTAGGGCAGGTGCAGCTTCGACGAGAAACATGGTCCAGTTCAGATCGCACTCAGGAAAGATACAGTAAAGATACACCTCGGTCAGGTTTCTGAATATTGTAGTGAGGTGCTTAGGATGTTCTAGTTGAATCCAAATCTGCAGCAAAAGCAAGAACACAACAGACAACTACAATTAGTAGGTACTAATTAAGAAGAAATATGATATGTACTACTAGATGCGAAGAGAAATTCATGTGGAGTGTTGAAATAAACGTACCATTTCGCAACCAAAATTGAGACACAATCTCGACAGATTCGTGGCACTCAAGCACTCGCTTAGCGCAAATGGCGCCTGCCACACCCCAGCACGTGAACCGAGGTTCACTTCAAGAAGTTGGGGAACGCACCGGAGGGCTCTCGCAGGGCCAAGACCAGCACCATATTTCTCTTAGCTTGGGGACGGAGATGAGCTCGATACATGTGCAAGCAAAGTCAATGAACTGAAGCTCCTGGAGCCCGGAGCACGGTGTGTCGATCTTGAGTGCGGAGTGATGATCAACCAGTCTGCAAGATATCAGGATGAGGTGCTTGAGCTTATCACAAGCTTTAATGAAGCTCGCAACGTCATCATCTCCAAACGCTAGGTTCTGGAGGGTTAGCCTGGTGAGCCACCGGAAGGCGACGGGGCAGGCACGGGAGAAGGACATGAACCGCTCCGTCTGCCCCATCTCGGCGAGTAGCTGAGTGGTGTCGTCGGTGCTTGGGGCCGGCGGTAATATATAAAACTCGAGCCATTCGGTATCGCCGCGGCTGACGATGTCCTCAACGCCGCCGCCGATGGAGCTCAGTTGGAGAGGGTCCGACATGTAGAAGCGTAGGACGAGGGTCTTGATAGCACGACTGCACGCGGGGCACGGAGGAGGACACACGGAGAGCAACCTCCGTGCCGCGCTCATAAACGCGTCCATGATCTCGACCGGCGTGGCGGTGGCGCCATGGAACTGGTCGACCCCGAGCTCTAGGTGCGAGAGCTGGTGAGGGAGGTGGCGCCAGCGCGTGGAGGCGGCGCCGACACGGAGTGCCTCACGCAGGTGGAGGCGTTCGAGGATTCCGAGGAGGAGGTGGTCGGGAAGCCTGCTGATCATGTCCTCATCCTGGCCGATATCGATGTTGGACGGCGATGACTTGTTGCGCGGCGGCAGAGAGGTGAGGCGGCGGCCCGATCGCAACTCCATCGATGCAAAACCCTCCTCGATCGTCTCGTCCCGTCCTGGTAATATGAACGGCGGCGGAGAAAGATTTTGGTGGACTCCTAATAACAGATCGGAAATGTTAACGCCCACACGTGTGGGCATTAGCCAACTCACCCACACGTCTCTATCACCGTCCAGTAACTTCTGCACGAATCTTGGCACGAATTAGCTGATTTTGTATGTCACGTAGGACAACTCGCGTGTGTGGTGTGTGAGAGAGGTCGCCCACACATCCGTTTTACCACACGGAGGGACCGGTGTGTGGGCGTTCAGCAGTTCGCGCCACACGCCACTTTGCACGCACACACAAGGGCTAGTGTGTGGGTATTTGCCATCTCGCCCACACGCCCGTCTCCTCTCCCACACCCAAGCTGCTAGTTGCCATGTGTTTTTGCAGCGCACATGGCAACTGCCCCTAGTGTGCTTTATAAGCAGGTGGCAACTCTCTTTTTTTACCCGAGTGCCATGTGTTTTTGCAGGGTACACGGCCACTGCCTAGTGTGCACGTAAGCAGATGGCAACTCTCTTTTACCGAGTTGCCATGTGTTTTTGCATGGTACATGGCAACTGCCCCAACGTGCACGTACATGGCAACTGCCCTAACGTGCACGTAAGCAGATGGCAACTCTTCCTTTTTACATGGCAACTGCTCTAGCATGCTTGTGAGCACATGGCAACTCTCTCAACTGCCTAGTGTTAGTATGTGGCAACTCCTAAAGTTATGAAATCATGGCAACTACATTAGATCAGATCATACATGGCAACTGCAGTTGAGCAACCATGGCAACTGCAGTTGTCCGACATGGCAACCGTAGTTCAGCGACATGGCAACTGCAGTTAAACGAACATGGACGAGGGTCTGGACCATGGCAACTGCGGGCGCGCGGTGGGCGTCACGCGTGGCGTGCGGGACCAGGAGGGTACGAGGCCTGACATACGGGCGTGTGGGCGTTATCAACTTCGCCCACACGCACGCGTGTGAGAGGGTTCAGGAGGAAAAAAAAGGTGTGTGGGCATTAGTTGTTTTGCCCACATGTAGGTGTGTGGGCTGGTTGCTGTCCATGCCACACGAGGCGTGTGGCACAACTACCCGATACACCACACGTGTGGCAGTTATCGGGACCCTAACAGATTAAGTCATGCTTGACCTGTCAAGTAATTCAACCAACTTCCCTAAAAAAAATTTAGATCAACCAATCGGCGTGTTGGATTCCTGATTTTTGTCATGGGAAAAATCGTATACGACCAGGGTCGTACGTACCCAATCTAAAGACCCTCTACCATCTGCGCCAGCTGGCAAACCCGAATCTGAAAGCCGCAGCCGTTGTTCCGGTCGCTCGCGTCGTTCGTCGACGGCCCAGCTCGAGTCCCCGCTCTTTGACACCGGTGGCAACTCCCTTCCTTATTATTGAACCCTCCTTTGTATTTTGCACCTAGCTAGATTCAACTAACAACCAACGCAAAAAAAAAAGTTCAACTTACAAACTATTAATGCATGTCACAAAAGAATATACCATTGTGGTGCCTGGAAATGGGCAATGAAGCAGAATGACGCCTCATGGTGGTGCCATTCCAACCTTAAGAAATACTAGATGACCCGTTGCGCCAATGGCGCAAAGGCCGGGTGTAAGCCAAGTAGTGAAAGAGTGAACATATAACTCTTTTATCGTGGCTGCCTCAAAAGCATACTACACAGGAGTCTAAGCAGCAAATTACCGATAGTTAAATGCACATGATGGTCTTAGGGGATTACATAAGACCCAAAAGTATGATAAACACAGAAGTCTTGGTCTAATATTAAGTTATATAACAAGGAGCTCTTGCAACTTGCTTATATTGAGTAGACGATCAGGCGCAGTCCCTTGGGAGTGCATTTGAAGCCGAAAGCATATGCTTGCCCTTTGTTCATCTGTGCCTGAGCAAAGGCCGAGTGCAAGCCAAGTATTGAAAGAGTGTGGATTAACATATTGCTGCTCCAAAAGCACAACTCATGATACTGTATGCAGCAAGCAAACGACAGGCACACTGTATGCAGCAAGCAAGCGACAGGCATACGCACATGATTGTCATAGTTTGTTTTACATAAGATTCAAAATGATGCACTAAGTTATGTAGCAAAGAACTCTTGTGATCTTCTTAGATTGGATAGACAATCATGCAGAGGCCTTTGGACATGCGCTTGAAGGCGAAAGCATATATTTCTTTCATCATGGTTGTTTCAAAAGCATACCACACAGTAGTCTAAGCAGCAAATAATCGACAATCAAATGCACAGGATGGCCTTAGGGGATTACATAAGATCCAGAAGGATGATAAACGTAGAAGTCTTGGTTGGCATCTATAGTAATGCTAAATTATATAACAAGGGGCTTTTGCAACTTGCTTATATTGAGTAGACGATCAGGTGCAGTCCCTTGGAAGTGCATTTGAAGGAGAAAGCATATGCTTGCCCTTTGTTCATGCTAGATGACCCGTTGCGCCCATGGCTCAAAGGGTGAGAGCAAACCAAGCTTTCAGAACCTGCAAATTGGAATATTTTAGAGACCGGTCTTAAAATCCCTGAAGCATAAGGAAATAGATATTTAGGTATGATGTTCATAGATAGCGTTATATATTACATTGGTGGGATATCGGTTCATGGTAAGCAAAGCTACATAGACAGAGATGTGGCATATAAATAGCTTTGGTCACCCAGCTTATGATAACTGACATATGCAGTCATTTAGATCAGGTGGTTGTCGCTTCTTGCGCCATTGGCATACAAAATGACCTCATCATCTAAGCAACTCTTTATGGTGGCCATGTTTGGTGGTTGTCATTGGGCAAAGCAGAAATGTCTTCCATATCATCGTCAAATCTCCAATAATACTTGTTTGTTTTCTGTAGAATGTCCTTTGATTGTAAAGTTCTGCCATTAAGGCGATCCACAACATACATTATCTGTGAGAGAATATGATTATTGTCTTCAAGCATTGATGATGTTGTGGAGTTGGTATTTATGATGCAATAAAGTTCTTTTACTTCCGTGTGATTTCTCCTTAGACTATTGCACCTGTTATTGCTCACATAGTCTATTATTCCTTCTTTTTCTTTCAGCTCGTGTTCCAGAACTTCTTTTTGAACCAATTGTAGCTTATCATAGTTGAACTCTTGTATCACCTTGTTGTAAGAGGTTTCCATGTATTTAAGAGGTTTGTTTGTCAGGCGATCTTTACCCTCTTCCAGTTTTTCGTAGACATAAATGAATTATTGTTTTTTTTTGCAAGTCCATTGTATACCTAGTACCCCAAATGGATAAAACTGAACAGTTGCCTCGAGACTAATGGTCCTTGCCTTGTGTGTTGAGTAAATTGCGTTTGGAAGGCCAAGCTATATTATCATAGCATCCAGAAGCACTTTTGATGGAATCTATTTTTTTTTCATCACAAGTTCACAACGGACTAATGATAGAGAGGAAGATATTATGAGCAAGTGTTTGAAGCTTTACAATGCATGCTTTTATATGCTCCTATATATCCATTATTTTTTTGTGACAAGAACATTGTGTTGATAAACAGTTGTAATGGTAACTGAATGTGGTGCTCACACGTACAATCTCGAACTATTATGGTTTACCGTTGAGTCCCATGTAAAAAACATGTGCGCGTTGAAAATATTTGCATTTTTTAGTAAGTTTGTGTCCGAGCAACCATCTCAAACCTGAAGCATTATGAGATTATTTGACTTTGTTAGTAGAAAAGTAGGTTTTATCAACCACTTAGGGTACTAATTCAAACCCTTCAAGATGAGAAATGATGTATAATTCAAACTTGCTGCGCTAAATGGCGCAGAGTCCCATATAAAACTATTAATGCTTTGAAATTATTTGCATTTGCTAGTAAATTCAGATTTTAGCAAACACTTAGTGTATCTATTGAAACCCTTGTAGATGAGAAGTTAAGAGGATTTATCTTCAAAAATGTATAATTGAGCGTGCACAATTTGGATCGATCACATTTGCAAACATGGGATTGAAACAACGGTTTAC